AATAATAAAATAAACCATAAAAACTAGTAATATTAACAAAAGCAACTATAACATAATAACAAAATAACAATAATATATCAATATCGATATTAACCACACGCATTGAGTATTTCAATTATAGCATACGACACGAAAAGCATTACCTTTTTTTGGTGCACCAGACTTTCCCCCCGGCTTTCTTTGTCCACTGAGAATTGCATGGTGGGAATTGCTGCCTTTCTTCAGCTTCACTTTTTTTCTGCTGCAACCCAACTTTCATTCTTTGTTCCACTTCCAGCAGTGCAGGTGTGGCTTTACCATTGGCATCATAATACAGGCCTTCTAACAATCCTGTTTTGCAGACATAAACATTTTTGGACACTAATAATCAGTGGCATATGTATTAGTTTTTAAAAGGGAGAAGGCTAGGGGCTGATATGTGGGCATGAAGGTTCAGTAGGGCTCGATGATTGCGATGAGGAACTAGTTGGCAAAATAAGGTGATATACATCCACACAAGAAAAGTTTCATCAATGAATCCTAAAAATTCATTTTTTAAGCTTTAGTTTGATATAAAACTTGTTTACATTCCTCAAAGTTGAAAATTTGCTAAATCTGAAAAAAAGTCATGGTATTGCCCAATTAACTAAGAAACAATATAATTATAAGTAGCATTAATTTCAAATTGAGTTTTGCAAGTCTTACCAACAAATTCATAATCTTTTTCATAAAACTCTAACCATTCTTTGATACCAAGCATATCTGCTGGTGATAACCCATTTGTGTCCTCAATCAAACCTTTTTCTGTAAAATCACCGCTGATAAATGCTCTTGTTCCATCTTTACCTGTTGAACAAATTTAAATAATATACGTTAAATGATTTATTAATTATATGAGAATGAATGGTTTTGTTAATAACACACTGAAAGTGCCATGGTCACCTACGAAATACAAGGCACTCATCAACAATGATAAATGATTTTACAAAAAGAATATTACAGCAGGAAGGGTTTAAATCAGTGGTGGCTACAGAATCTTGCCAACAGGGTATAATATTTTTATCATACCCACAAACTAACAACTGATCAATAACAGGCCTTAATATCACTATACATTTTACAGAATATCATTAGGAAAATAGGTGCGCGAAATCGTTAATTACTAAATAATTGCATTGGTTAATATATGTTAAGAAATGAAATGTGTGGAAAGATTTTTAGGGCAAATTCTTGCATGGAGGACATATTTACAATAGTGTCTGGCATTTTACACTTTCTTCTTTTACTACATACAACCATGATTGCTCAATGATTTTGATGGTTCAAGGGTGATGTAGGGTTGAAAAACTTGTACCGAAAATTACTATACTTTACATACAGCATATTGCTCCATTAGTGTTAGGTCAGTATACATTTAAATAACAGAATAAAATAACTCTTGCTGGACTTTATCAGTTGTACCTGTAAAGAAATGGTATCCGCCCCCTGGTCCATAATGACGGCGGCCTTTCTCCACATCATAAACATGACCCAAAATAGCTAGGTACAATCCATTACTCCCTTCACTTCCATCATACTTCATGAGGTCTTCTTTGCTAAATACTTTACCCTGTTTAATAGTAGTAAAACTTTGGTCTAGGCTATCAGTTTTACCATCAGAAGAATCAAGAAAAAGATGCTGAAAGCCTGGAAGTAGATCTGCGATCAGCTGTTTCATTTCGGCTAGGCTCTGTGGTTTGTTTCCTCCAGTTGCAATGTATATCCCAGCACTGGCAGCCAGAAATAAAACTATAACTGGTAAAATATAATCTTTTGCTGCCATAGGCATATGCTCAATTGATACGATCTATAAGGAACACAGAAATATTAGAAAGCCAGCCTAACCAGGCCTACGTCAATATACACAAATCTGAGCGACGCCCACGGTTTGGGCTTTGATGATGATTGATACTAATTATTGATAGGCCTAGGCTATAATATAATAATTAGTACACTGACTGTACTACTACAGTATACTTTCTTCCTGGAGGTCCTAGATGAACTATAATGCCTCTGATGATAACTTGACTCTCAAAAACTAGCGTAAAAATGATGTCTTCACCGTGACAATACACAAACTATATTGGCATATTATAGGCCTACTCCGTGGTACTGGGGATTTAAACCAGATTAGTTCAGTAATTGTGTCCACTGTGCAGTAGCCTTGATTTCTACGGGCGCAGACATTTTGTAAACGGCATAATACTATTTGAAATTATAACATATTTTGTCAAGAACTGCAGTTATAGGAATTTCAAAATATTTATAAAAATATAGTATATCAAATAGTATTTTATTTTTTATAATAAATTATATTAATTCTAATGTTTGTTTTACATTTAATACAAACAACTAAAATCTATATAGCGTTAAGGTCACAAATTCGTCAGGAAAGAAGTCCTCGCGAAACATGGCGGACACGCAAGACTGGAAATCACCAGCATTTCGTAAAAAGATTTTGGCTCAAATGTAAGTTTGCGACACTGTTTTACTCAATATTCGTGATGTGTGGCTATGATTATTAGTGTACGTGTGTGTCTATCAAACCGATTTTTAACAAAATCATCCTAGGCCTTAGCAGGGAGGCTAGGCCTAGGTCAGTCAGAAAACTCACACAGAGGCTCTAGAGTAGAGGCCTAGCTAGAGGGCTAGGCCTAATCGGCTGGCCTACCAACTAGGCTAATCTTCCAACCCAGTCAGGCCTAGGGCCTAGAATAGAAAGTCTAACAGGGGATAAAATGTACAAGTTGGCCCCTGATGAAAAGGACCACACTGTAATTTTTTTTTTTTTGTGTGCAGAGGGTATCTTGAAAACCAACTCACATTTTTGCTTAGAGAACATCACCAGGAAAATTCAGATTCATTTTTATCCATCATTGATAATAATGGAATAGCAGCGAGTAAATTTCAGGTCATTAAAATTTTATAAAAGAAAAACGTTTGTTCCATAATATAGATAAAGTGAAATACTAAAAACGGACAATAATAAAACTCCAGTACAATACAAACAGACAATAACATTCAAGCAAGATACAATAATTTATTATGGCATTGTCATTACAGTACATCAAGATAGTAATTTATAAAATATTAAAATGTTAATTGATTCCAGTAACAATTTTAAAATTACTAAAAGAATAAAGATTCCAGTTAAAATTTAAATTTACTTTTCAGATTAAAAATTTTCAAATGATTAGAAATAATCCATCCGTGCATATCTAAAATTTAGTACATACTGTATATAGGCTGATTTCCGTGCAAATTTTTGCAGAAAATTAGGCTTGGCCCTATAAAGATACTAATTTAATGTAGGCCCTATTTATTGCCGTGTAGGGACCCCAAACTTTTAGAACAGTGTTTGATATGTACACGTAACATCAACAAAGCCTTACTCTTGTAGCATCAAATAACTTTAGTCACATGGATCGATAGTATAATACCTGTTTAGTAAGAAGAAAGTAAAATGAATGTGGTGAAAAAACCGTGTTTCCTCACAAAGTGAACATGCCCAACTAAATTCTAGATTCTAAACAATGCGTTATAATAACAACAACAATGCGCTTTCGAATATAAATTCAAAACTTTTAAATGCACATAAGACTCTATACCAAGCAGCAAAGTGCGCAGTTTGCTAAATATGCACCATATTGCCAGGTGACGAAATGTTAGTATTTTCTTAAAATTTGGTATCTATTATAGAGGGCGCTTTAGCGTTAAAGTAAAATGCTAAAAAGGCACTAACATGCAGTGCTTAGCTACTGTAAGAATGCATGTTTTATTATGATGTTATTTGTCTTCTTCTTTAATCATACTTATAGTATTACTCAATTTCTGTACACAAGAAAAATTTTGGTTTCTTTTGTATTTTTAGATAAACATATCAAACATGAATGACTGATACCCAAAATTATCACAAATAATAATTTTTTCATTGTGACTTTAGATGCCTGCTTTTCATGTTCCGACTACTTTTATTTTTCCCCTGTATTATTAGACTTCTAGTTGCCAGTGGCTCCCAGATTAGGCCTACTGATTTAACGTACTGTAGAGTGGATGCGTATTTCTGTATGTGACGTTCAAGTGTAATAATAAAACTATATATTTAGGCGACATATCAGTCGAAAAAAATTTGATTGCAGTGCTATATTTGCTAATAGTTTGTAGATTTTATTCATGAAGTCGACCACTCCTGTATTTAAAAAAACAGCACTGGCAGCTACCTTGCATAAAAGGGTTATTTACACAAAGCTTGATAGCGCACGCGACAACAGCAGAAAAAAATAGAACCTTTTATTATCCAGTTAATGTTATTAATCTTAATGGTGATTCACACTTGAGACAAAACTATTTGTTCCTCCGTGTATTATCATCAAAACTTGTTCATTGCGAGACAAAAATTATTCTGTGTGACAAAAATTTTTTTTGTCATTGTTGTGTGCAAGTGTTAGCTCTCATTTAGCTGCAAACTTGCTTCCTTTGCTTCTTATTGTCTCAACTGCATATTGCCAAGTACAGTGAAAAGAGTTTTTTTTTTTTTTTTTTTTATGAATTATTTTCTGGGAGTTGGAACTGCAAGATATTGTTTTTTTTTCTCGATATAGTGAAGATGCCTTCCGCAAATCTGGTAACCCTACACAACGCTCAGCCATTGATATGGAAAAGCATGTGTTTGGCAAGGCAACAACTAAGGTATAGTAACAACAGTTGCTTCAAGTCTAAAAGTTATACCATTTAGTGCCAACACTTGGGGTACCTATTCTGCTGTGAGTCGCAGAAGTCTCCCAGAAATAGGGACCGCCTGCTGCACTCTCTGATTTTACCATTGGAACAATTAACCTTTCTGCTAGTCCTCAATTAACCTTTCTGCTAGTCCTTCCTCCCCC